CCAGCCCTCCTGCTGCAGAGCGGAGAGTGTGGGGTCTTCCAAATGAGTGGAAGGGACTGACTGTGGAAGAAAAGGTCTCAGCTTGGTGACTCACTTGCAGGTCTCTGGGTTCTAGAGGGGATCAAATTCCTTTGCAGCTCTGTTCTCAGAGAAATCTCCAGATCCCTTTTCTTTCCACATCCTGGCTATGATTTACTTCCTCGTGACACAGAACTTCCTCTTTCCACATTTGGATGGGACATGACAATACTGCAGATTTACAGGAAGACCCCAGGCTGAACCTGATGACCATGTGGACCTTGGTTGGTGCCATTTGTTTTGGTGCTGGCCATGGTAGTGGAGTGAGCTGACAGACCTGCCCTCATAAGCCTGGGGCCCCATGTTGCTGAGCATGTCAATGCTGACCCTCTGCAGTTTTCTTAGAATCTGGTAAGGGCGTGAATACATAGACTCATAAAAAAGCACAAGTTGACTTCCAACTGACCCAGCAAAGCTGACCTTGGGACATGAGAAAGGTAACCAGAACTTCTCAAGCTGTGACGTGTGCAGGGGTCACCGGACCTCCTGTCCTGCTGTCTAGGCAAGCCCGCACATCTGCATCACAGACAAGCATGGATGTGCTGGCCTGAGTATCACACCTGGCTTATCTAGTGATCAAGTGACACACCTTAGTCATATGACAGGATGGAACCTTATTTTCCTTCAGTTTTAGAAACATCCTGGATGTGCAGAAGAAAAAGTAATTGTGTTAGCACCTTCCAGTGGTCTACTTTTTTGTACAGAGCTATCTTCAATGACAGATCTGGGCTCCCAGGTGACTAGGACAGCACTCCCAGGAGTTAGCTTTCTCATTTATGCAAAACCTCAATAACTGGACATTCTTATGGGATGGACCCCGGCATCTGCACATGACTTTAAACTGATCCTTTTAGTTCGGTTGGGAGCAAGCTGCCAGGGTTCTGAAATCTTGCCGGGAAGAATGACATTCAGCATTTTGAATGAATGTCCAATGTTCCTAGAGCACACAGCTGGCAGGAAACCATTTGCTGAGTGTTTCCCATGGACCAGGCAGCATGCTACCTGCTGTGCAAAGTCATAAATCTTTACAACTGTTCAGCGAGGTACATTCAACAATGTTCTCCAAACAATCAGGACAAATAAACACAAAACCCCGTGAAGGTCACAGTGCTACAGTTCAGATCTGGAATGTCCCCCAGCGGTCCTTGTGATAAAGGCTTTGTCTCCAGGAAGGCACCTTTGGGAGCTGGTGGAACCTTTAAGAGGTGAGGTCTAGTGGGAGGAGGTTTAGGTCATTAGGGGTGTGCCCTTGCAGTGGAAATTTGGTCTCTTCCTCTTTTCCTTTTTTTTCCCCCTGTGGTCATGAGGTGAGCCATTTGCTCTGCTATGTCCCTACTATTACTGCCATCTGTAATCTTGTCCCATCACAGGACAAGAGCAATGAGTGACCTGGTTATGGGCTGGACTCTCTAAAACCGTGAACAAAGCTAACTTTTCCCTTTTTTTTTTTTTTTTTTTTTTTTGGTGGTTTAGGGTTTGAACTTGGGGACTTATGCTTGCTAGGCAGGAGGTCTACCACTTGAACCACTCCACCAGCCTTTTTTTGTAATGGGGTTTTTCAAGATAGGGTCTTGTGAACTATTTGCCTGGGCTGGCTTCAGACCTCGATCCTCCTGATCTCTGCCTCCTGAGTAGCTAGGATTGCAAGTGTGAGCCACCAGCGCCTGGCAACTTTTCTTTTTCTAAGGTGATTATTTCAGGTATGGAAGGCTGAGTGACACCAGGGAATGCCATCCACCCAAAGGCACATACTTCACAAATGGGGCCAGTCAGCGAAGATGGGACCCAGCTGTTGGACTCCTATCCCCAGGCTCCTGAATGGATTGGAGTAATGTAGGCGAGCGCAGAGTTATAGCAGCAAAGCAGATGCAGAAACGTGACAAAGGAGGTTTAAAATGCTCACCTCTTTATTAAGTTAATGAAGCACACTTAATTTAGACTTTCTCTCTTAACAATGGCCAACATGTTACAACCTGACAAGCAAATTTATTTCACTAGTGGCAGTGCCAAAGCACTGCCCAAAGCAGAAACTCATCCCCACCCTGACTTACAGTTATGCTCCTGGCATGCGTTTCTATGTACATCTTCTTTTTGGTGCTGGGGTTTGAACTCAGGGCCTTGTGAGCAATTCCTCCAGGCCTTTCTGATTCAAGTTATTTTTCAGAGAGTCTCAAGCTTTTTGCCCAAGCTGGCCTCTGACTAGGATCCTCCTATACACCTCCCACCTAGCTGGGATTATAGGTGTGCACCACCACGCCAAGCTTGTTCTTTGAGACAAGGTTTTTCTAACTTCTTTTTGTCTGAGCTGGCCTTGAACTGAGATCCTCCTATGTCTGCCTCCAAGGAACTAGGATTACAGGCATGAGCCACTGAGCCCCACCTACAGTAGTACCTTTTTTTTTATGGTACTGGGATTTGCACTTAGGGCCTACACCTTCAGCCACCCAACCCTTTTCTGTAATGGATTTTTTTGAGATAGGGTCTCACAAACTATTTGCCCAGGCTGGCTTTGAACTGTGATCCTCCTGATGTCTGCCTCCTGAGTAGCTAGGATTACAGGTGTGAGCACCTGGCACCCAGCACATTCTTGTCTGTGGTTTTGTTTTTCACAATTTCAGGTACCCCTGGTCCAGTGCAGTCTAAAAATATCAAATGGAAAATTCCAGAAATAAACTACTCATAAGTTATAAATAACTTTCATTATTGTAATTGTCCTATTTTTATTAGTTATTATCATTAATTTATAATGTGCCTAATTTATACATTAAGCTTTACCATTCGTATGTATGAATTGGAAAAAAACATAACCAAAGTGCTGGCGGAGTGGCTCAAGTGGTAGAGCCTAGTAAGCATGAGGCCCTGAGTTCAAATTCCAGTACTGCCAAAACAAGACAACCCCTTCCCCCAACCATAATCTAGGATTTGGTCCTATCAATGGTTTTAGGTCTCCATAGGGAGTCTTGGAAGACGTCTTCAATAGATAAGGGGGACTACTGTGAATGGGATTCAAGAACATAGAAGACTGGTGACCCAAAATAGAAATTATTTCCTGCTAAAGGGACAATAGTAACTCCTTTGGGAGTTACTAATGGTCCTGCAAATATTAAGTCTGAAGGGGGCACCATCAATTGCAACATGCAAACTGCTTTGTCCACTTCATACAAATAAAAGAGAGAATTTCTTTTCATTCTGAGTTTATTTAACATTTCATGATACATCGACTCCAATACTGGAGAGACACTGTGCTAATACTGACATAAAAACTGCCTGTCAGTGAACACTGATGAGCATATTTCTTTATATCTTGTCAACAGAAATATTAATAACTATTCACCTTACCAGCTTATTGCACTTCGTGTAGATTTTTGTGTTCTCCAGAAAGATCAGCTAGGATTGCCAATCTTGGTTCATTTGTTCTTTTATTACTCATGATTACACTACACAGAGAACATTCCTATAGAAAAGCATTGAGTCTGAAGGTTCAACAGACAGGTTAAAAAAACACACCATTCCACACTCATTACACTTATTACTGTGCTTTGGTCCTATTTTTCCAGGGTCTAGAACATTTTGGTGAGTTGACATTTTCACTGACGGTCAGTGTTCTGATGTGGAGCTATGCGTGAACTGGGGAGGTGGACGAGTGAATGGGGGGGTGAGAACAAAGATTGATGTTAGCAGGGTGGATGGTGCCAGCTCAAAAACTTTAGCTTTTTATTAAAAGTGCCTACTAAGCACCTTGGGGAGGTCACCTTTAATTTCAAGCCTTTTACCATTGTCTGAAGAGGAGCACTGATGACAGCAAAGTCTGTCTGAGGCCAGAACGTCATGGGACAGCCATTGTGCTCACATGGCCTGACTGCAAACCTACAGAAGGTTCTATAGGTCTCACAGAAGGCCTGGATCTTCCGATCCACTAATCCTTTCAGAGAAAACAGAAACGCAGACACAAGGCACACTATTTTTCTTTATGAGTAAATTCAGTCTGGACACATCATCAGGAAAAAGGATCTGTCAGAGCTAAGTAGTTTCTAATTCTTTTTCACTTTTAAGTCTCTGGGTTATAATGGTCTACACTGAATACCTCTGGACTGGAAACATAATCTCTGCTATGCTAAATGTCCTAGGTGTGACATCACGACAGTAATGTAAACAGTGGGACATGGTTTCATTATTCTCAGGATGGGATGTGACAGACATCATTCAAGTAAACTCAGTTATTGATTCATTCACAGTGCATCTTTCTGAAAGCCAAAGAGCTGGATGTGGGTGGCTGGAGGGGACCGCAGGAAGGGGAACCTGTGGCCTCTCTTCTTAACATATCTAACAGCCCAGATCCACCCAGTCACTTAGCACTGGTACTGAAGACACTCCTAATGTGTGACATTTGATGGAAACGACTGAATGTGAGGTCAATAACTGCAGGGCAGGTGGACATCTTTATAAGAGTATGGAACAATTTAAAAACCAGCCAAGAAAATTCATTGACAATGTGACTACATATAACCCTTGACTGCAGGGATGGTGCATGACTGTGGCTTCCAGAAGGTACAGGAAGGAACATTTGCCCTCCAAACCCCAAACCTTCAGCATCTATACTGGGTTCATCCACCACCCAAAAAAGAAGCAAAATTATGTCTTCCCAATTCACTACTGAGAGCTCCTTGATTTGAAATGGAAGGGGAACACATTGCCTTGTCACAGACAGAAAATAAATATTTACCGAGCACAGACTCAGAGCCTACTCTATGCCTCGTGGTGCTTTTTAAAACCCTAGGCAGACTGGGATATTGTCTTTAAAAACAGTTGCCAGAAAAAGCTACTGGAAGGAAGAGAAGAAGGGAGGGAGGGAGGGAGGGAGGGAGGGAGGGAGGGAGGGAAGGAAGTATTTCTGTAAATCACAACATGATCCTTGTGTTGGGGACCCAGCAGGTGGCAGGCACCTGGCCTGCACCACAAGCTGTTATAAAGAGCAGTTTGATACTAAAAGGCTGATGTGGCTCTTTGAAGGGATCTGCCACTGGGAGAACCCTGCTCAAACAGGACTTTCCTCACTGACACAGCGACAGGAGGTCTGCAGTGGGCAGGATTGGCCCTGGAGGTTTCTTTCCCTGAGTTACAGTCCCTTGTTGAAGTACACACGCCGCAATTCAGGATGGCTCTCCTGGATCTTGGCTTGCAACTCGGCTTCCAAGCTTGTCACAGACATGGAACTGGGAGGAGAGAGAAAGGACAGAGTTAGAACAGGGGCAGAGGTAGGAACCACAGCTAGAAATAGCAGGGGTATGGGCCCAGGGCTGGAGCAGGAAAACGGGGTGCTTCACAGGGCTGCACAATGACTCTTCTGTTCCCTTCAGAAAATCACCTGTCACTAGCAATCAAAATAATCAAGGAAAACTAAGAATGCAACACCCAGCCTTCTATCTGGCCTGTTATTACAGGCTGCAAAATCCCAGCATGGGCAAGAGTGCATGATGACGACACCATCAGATCCCAACAGTGTGGGAAAAAGCAATGTCACTTCCTAAGGAAAATAATACTGTGAGGGAAGCAAACATGGGGGAGTGCAAATGGCAGAAATGCCTCTGGGAATAAAAGGCAGAAATGACCTGGGAATGTAAAGGGAACAGATGGCAGAAATGACTTTGTCTTAGATTAAAGAGTCAGGAAGACATCCTTAAGAGCAAACATCTGAGAAGAGGTGAGGAGCGGGCTTCTCACCCAGATAATGAAGTGCAGCAGTCTTTCTCCTGGATAAGGGAGGCAGAGAAGCATCTTTAAAGACCGACATCTGAAGAGATGAAATACAGACCCCTTAAGGAAAGTGACAGCATATCCCAAGATAGCAACGGGGGTCTCCAAAATAATGAGTGGGCATCACAAAATGTATACAGCACGTCTCAAGGACAGAGTGGACTCACAAGGCCCTCCTGGAATGTGCAGTTCAGTAAGGACGGGGCCAACAGAAGTTACTCAGACAGCCAGTTACAGACGCAGCTGCAAAGTAGGGGGTGCCAGGTGCCAGTGGCTCACGCCTGTAACCCTAGCTACTCAGGAGGCAGAGATCAGGAGGATCACGGTTCAAAGCTAGGCCAGGCTAATAGTTCACGAGACCCTACCTCAAAAAAAACCTTCACGGAAAAAAGGTGTGGGGGGGGGGCTGATGGAGTGGCTCAAGGTGAAGATCCTGAGTTCAAGCCCCAGTACCACAAAAAAAAAAAAAAAAAAAAAAGTAGGGGGTGCCCAAGTCAGGCTGAGCCCTGTATTAACCCTTAAGACTTCAGCTATTTTATGGCTTAGCTCTTTCACTAACCCCACTTGTCAGGGTCCTTGCTAGCCTTTCAATAAATTTTGTGCTTGCTTTAACTTAACTCCTGGTCTGGTGTCTTGAATCGTCGATACACCAGGACTGAAATGTACAAAAAGAAAAGAAAGGCAGAGAAAACCACTCATAGTTCCATTGTGACAATAATCACATGGTGACAAAGGTCAGTGACAGAGTGCTTGCTCAGCACTGCAAAAAGCAAAAATAAAAACATAATGTCTTTGTTTTATGCACTTAAAAATGTATTTAATGTATTATATCAGTAAGCACATTAAAGCTTATTTTTTATTGTAAACACATACTCATTAAGTCATGAAGAAAAATTGTGCAAAATGCCTACTACCAGAAAAACTGCTGATATTTTGATATATACTTAGCTTCTTAAAATATTTGGTGTTTTATATAATTGAGATGTGGTAAAGTATAAGATAAGAATCAGGATACAAATTTGTATAAAAACATTCCAAATGAATAGAAGACAAATTATGTATAGAAAAAAAACTTGAGAAAACCCCACAGAGGCACCTTCTTCATTTGAAATCATTTTCCTGTAATCCTTTTAGCCTCTGCTTAATCTGAGTTTACACCTCCTTTTCACTGAGTGTATTCAAAGCATTCTCTTTGTTTTGATTAACTTCCCTGGAGAATTGTACAACTGTAACTCTTTTCAAAGAACCAACCTTGACTTTTTCCTTGCCATTCCTTTTCCTTTCTTTGTTACATATTTTATTTATTTCTGATCTTTTCTCTTTCCTTTTTTATATGGAGTTTACTTCTCTGCCCTTTTTAATTTAAGCTGGCCATGTGGATTTTGAGCCATTCTTTCTCATAGGAACATTTAAAGCTACACATTTCCCTCAAAGTAGCAGGTTTGCTGCTTCCTAAGGAGGTTAGTAAGGCGTGTGTCATTATCACTCATCGTGCAAGGGAATGAGTGCAATGTGTTCACACAATGGACTATTACACAGCAAGGATAATGGATGGATACAACCTCATGCAACGATCGATGAAGCTTTCAATATTCAATAAGAAAAAAAGAGTACCAGAAAACTATATGTGGTATGATCTTGTCTAAAAAGTTCCAAAAGAGGGTTACAGGTATGGCAAAAGAGATAGAGTGCTTGCCTAGTAAGCATGAGGTTCTGAGTTCAAACCCCAGTACCACCTAAAAAATAAAAAGTTCCAAAGAACAAAAACTAAAGGTGTGTGTGTGTACACAAGATTCGCACAGTAGTCAAAACTGCAGGAGAGGCCCAGCCAGCCTGGGAGAAGTCCATAAGATGTAACTTATATGTAGTATTTTTATCCATTGAGCAATGGATTCATAGATGTTCATTATGTCATTCAAATAAATAAAATAAAAGTAGCTGGGTATAATGATTCATGCCTTGCAATCCCAGCTATTTGGGAAGTAGAGATTGAGAGGATCAGGTGGAGAATGAGGACAGGACAGGCAAAAAGTTAGCAAGACCCCATCTTAACAAACAAGCTGGGTGTGTTGGATGGTACATGCCATAATCTCCAGCTGTGCTGGAGGCATAGGTAGGGGACCATAGTCTGAGGCTGGCCCCAGGCAAAACTGTGAGACTGTCTGAAAAACAAGTAAAGCAAACAGGGCTGAAGGCATGTCTCAAGTGATGGAGACAAGTATGTATGAGGCTAGCAAGTATGAGGCTGAGTTCAAACTCCGTACCATCAAGAAAAATAAGTAAATAAATAACTAAAAGGAATTAAAACAGGGTCGCCAGTGATAGCAGTGTGTTATGAACCAAGAAACATGACTAATTGCACCAAGCAACTGAGGGCCAAGAGAGGAAAACAAACAAATGAAGAGACAAAAATCCAACCAGTAAGCTTCAGTTCTAGACAGATCTGGGCGAAAAAGCAATGGTTTCCAAAAATGTGAAACCTCTTCTCTCAGACAGCTTTGACCCCAAAGCAGTTGTAGCTACAGAAAACTTTATTCCTGTGCGTAGGGTGAAAACGAATCACGAACAGAAGTATATTGTGTTTCTTACCACCAAGGCACCACAGGATTCTTCTTTGTGGGTGTTAACATCTACAGTCCTTTCCCTGTCCAATGACAGATGCTGCATTTCTGAAGTGTTTATTTGGTGTGGGTATCCACCTCCCCTGTGTCTCAGTCTCCAAGTTCAAGGGCACTGCTGAACCTGGCACATTCCTGCTGGTCACTAGAGAAATGGACGCTCCTAAGTCAAGCCCTGAGGTCTGGGGCTTTGGACTTTAAATAGACAATGGTTCTCTGCTTCAGAGACAGAGACATTCATCTGGAGGGGCTCAATAGAGGACCTGAAGGTGCCATCCCATTCAGAGGGTGCTGTTCTGGCCAGGAGGGATCACTGGACGAACAATATCCTGTCCCACGAGCATGGGGTCGAAGGCAGAGTGGCAGAGCAGGTAAGAGGCAGAAGTCTCCATCAAGTGGAGGTCCTAAGGAAGTCAGTTCTACAACAGAACACTTCATCCAAACCTACTTTGAAAGAACAGACCCTGTGTTTAGGACCCATAAAGGAAAGGGCACTCAAGGTCAGAGATGAAGCGACACTGAAACAAACCCCCAAACTTCCCTGTGTTCTTGTGCTCTGGTGTGAGATTAAGAGGAAGCTGCAGACCTCATTTGCTGATTCAATGCCAGTCAGTTCAAATTTGCATCAACACAGAATTCAAGGGCAGTTTGTGATGAAAGACACATGCCCCGCAAAGCTTTTAGGGAAAAGTAGCAGGAAGAAGAGGAGCAAGTGTACCAGCTTCCTGAGCTCAGGGCAGACACTAAATGCCAACAGATCTGCCTCACAGATGCACTTGGCAATGGACTGGATGTCAACGAACCATAGCTAAATTTTTATAAAAGTGATTTGCACCACAGTGAATGTGACTCTTAGAAGAGGATAAATGAAGCCTTTTCAAATTTGTAACACAGGGTAGAAAAGAGAATTTGAGGATGGATGTGGGTTTGAGTTCTGCCTCTCTGTCTTCCTATAGAGAGCTTCGCTTTTCTGTTCTTTTGAGTTGCAACTTCCTGCCAGTGAAAGGGAATCACTGCATCTCTATCTCCGACTGGATTTTATGACTAAAAGTCCTGGTCACCCTGAAGAATAAGGAACAAGTACCTCTTCTGAGGAAACAGGGCACAGCACAGGGGCGTGGCAAACACCAAGCTTAGGAAAAAAAGGAAAAAGGACATGTCAGCATTTTGAACATCTTTTTGGATTATTTTCCTATTTTATAACAATCTTCTCTCTTCTTTAGAGCATCAGGCTGCCTTCCCAAAACATGTCCTGTTAATTTTATGACCTAGGATTGCCAAAATAATGGTAATAAACAAACAAAACAACAAAAGCTAAAGAGGTCACAGGAGTTTGAAAAAAACCATGCAGATATCCCATGCTTTGTAGGTCTCTGTACACAGTTTATTTCTCCTTAATTATTAGGACCATAAGTTTTGGGTTAACCTTATTTTCAAAATATCTGTAACATATTACCCATTTTTTTCCTCTTGCTTTTCATAGGTTGTCTTTATTTTTAAAAAGGAAATTAATAATCTAAAAGTAATCCATATGCTAACAATCCTGACTTGGTCATCACACATGCATAAATACACATATAATTAAAATAATAATAAAAAAATTATAATAATAGATTTTTTTTTTTTTGGTGGGACTGGGCTTTGAACTTAGAGCTTCATGCTTGCAAAGCAGGTACTCGTCCACATAAGCCGTTCCTGTAAAAATAATAGATATTTAAAAAAGATAATTTCCACTCACCAGAAGCCAACTAATCCAACTTGAATTGGAGCGCTCATCCACGGGAACCTCTGTGTTGAGAAACAAACAATTGTGAATATTTTTTACACAGGCCTTAGAGACATTTCTCCTGACAATTATTTGGAAGGAAGCTCTTCTTGTCACAAGAGCCAGATGCAACATGGTTAGTGAAACCTGGGGGTGACACTGCAGGTGTTAGTCCTGACTCCCTGGCACCCTCTGATCTGCACATGGACATGCATGCAAAGACCAGGCGCCTTCACCACTTTCTCCCTCACATAATACAGTCTGAATACTTCTTGGATGTGCACGGGAGGTGGAGAAAGAGCTGCCATTTAATTGAAATTTACCTCCTGGCTGAGGTGAGCAGGATCATCTGACCACAAGGTTTGAGACAACACACAAACCTGCATTCAGGTCTCTGCCCTCTGAGTCAGTTCCCGACAGTGGGGAAAAGGTAGTTTCCTTGTTAGGATGAAAATGAGCAATGTTATCAGTGTCCTCAAAGTGTGTGGACAACACTAGGAGGGTGCTTAAAACATGGCAGGGGCTGTGGCATTAAATGTTTACTTTCCCCACCCCCTTGCACTCTCTCTCTTGGTTTTAGTTGCCATCAATCTGGTTAAGACTATTTTTGGCATAAACATTTTTTATTAGTTCTCCCCTCCCCAGTGGAAAGGAATGGGCTGGGTTTTTTTTTGGAAATTAAATGCTGTTAGATTTTTAGTTTTTAAAAAAGATTGATATCAAAATATACAATATAAGAGCAAGGAGCTATAATGTTATCTAAATAAGGCCACAAAAATAGCTGGAGCTATGTTGGGAACTGGTTGTAACGCAAGCAGCAATTTAGTTAGGAGCCAGCCCACGCTGTTATGGGATGTCGTGCTTAGGAGGCAGGCATTACCCTGGTCCCCAAGGAGACTCCTCTGGCAAAAAAGGAACATCAGGAAGGTCAACATACAGGAAGAAAGGGAGGGACTGGAGAGGAAAGGTAGAATGTCACCAAAAGGAAATGGATCCATACAGGCCAGGTAGACAGCTCCCCCCACCCAAGGTAGAAAGAAGAAAATACAGTTATGTGTCACTGCATGGCAGGTTATATTCTGAGAAACGCATCATTAGGGGATTTCATCTCACTGAAAACTGGATGTCTACCCTTGCGGGACTGTCATCACATCTGTGGAGACGCCATTATGTGACACCTGATTGCACTGTATCTTGGGCAACTGGCTGTTTGATGAAGGCATTTCATAAGAGGGTGGTAATTTCACTCCCCAGGTCCTCCTGGACATGTGACACTGGGGCTGGGACACACTGTGGTGATGGGAAGGCAGGCTAAGTGCTGAGTGAGATGCTGTGCTGATTTCAGGTGGACTCTTGTCTGCAGCAAACTGGGCTAGCCTGTTACCCAAAAGGCACAGCTACGTGACATCTGAGGGATAGACAGGTACAAACTAAATGCTCCTCGTAATGACAAAGATCCTGGAGAATTCGAACTTATTCCTTAAAGCCCAGCCTGACACTGTCTCCACACCTCATTCTGCCTAACTCATCCCTACTTCTCCAAAAGAACTTAGTCTAGGACTAAATGAGTGAGCTGAGAATATTCATAGCTAAAGGGATGGACATGTCTTACTTGACAGAACCATGCAGAAGACATTTTAACTAAACTTCAAATAAATTCAAGCTAGTGAACATAAGTTGCCATCATCACAAGCAAAGTAAAGAATATACCCAACACTTTAAGTATTTTTCTTATTCCTTGTGCTGTTCTCTTCCTGAAAACCGGCACCATTTCCTGGCAACGTCTGGTCTACTTTCTCTCCCCATATATTAGTTTGCATTTCCTAGGATTTTATATTTGTTATTATTGCATACATCAGTGGCTCATTACTTTTTTCTTGCTGACTTAAGTATTCCACTGTATGGATATACCACAACGTGTTTATACATTTTCCTATTGATGAACATTGAGTTGCTTCTAGTTTGGAACTATTGTGAATACAGCTGCTATTTTTCATCTTTTATGGTCACTTTTTTTTTTTTTTTGTGATACTGGGGTTGAAGTCAGGGTCTTATACTTGCTAGACAGGTGCTTTTACCACTTGAGCCACTCTGCCAGCCCTTTTTTGGGTTGGGTATTTTTCAGATAGGGTCTCAAGTATATTTGCCCAGGCTGGCCTCAAACCACCGTCCTCCTGATCTCTGCCTACTGAGTATGATTATAGGCATGAGCTTGGAAGTCACACACTTTCATTTCTCCTAGTTAGTACATTAGAGTGAAATAGCTGGATCATATGGTAGCATATGCTCAACTTTGTAAAAACTACCAAACTTTTTCTAAAGTCACTGCCCCATTTCAGCTTCTCCCCAGCAGGGTATGAGGATTCCACATCCTCCTTTTTCTCACCACCACCTGTTATTGTCAGTCTTCTTAACTGTAGCCATTCCTGTAGATATGTCCGGATAGCTCATGTGGTTTTAATTTTACTTTCTCCAGTGACTAAAGTACTGAGCATCTTTCTATGTGCTCATTTAGTATCTTGTATACATTTGGTGTAGTGTCCAAACCTTTTGCCCATTTTTGTGCTGGGCTGTCTTCTTGAGTGAATGCTGAAACTTTTATCTATCCTGGATACAAGTTCTTTTCAAAACGATTTGCTTGGCAAATTTTCCACCCAATTTGTTTCTTGTCTTTTCCTTCTCTGTATAGCTTTTGAGGAGCAGAGTCTTAAAATTTTGATGAAGTCAATGTTTCTTTGATGGACTGTCCATATTTGTGTAAGGAATATGCAGTGTCCCGTTATAGTTTCTTCTAGTAGTTTTGTGGCTGTAGACTTTTACGGTGAACCATTTGGAGTTAATTTTCGAACATGATAGAGTTAATCCCTACACACTGCCTACATCCTGCCAACCTAATCATCCACAAATCTTCCATAAGCCATGCTCTTTGTCCTTAGCCAGGAGACTGGTCATCTTCAAGTCTCTGCACACCTACGCCAATTGGGTAAGACAGCTTTTTTTGTGCTACTCATTGCCTCATGCTGTAACCACCATAATTAGAGCCATTTGTTCTGTGTGTTTCTCCTATTATGCTACAGGTTCCTTGAGGTTTTTTTTGTTTGTTTGTTTGTTTTTTGGTAGTACTGGGGTTTGAACTCAGAGCCTCATGCTTGCTAGGCAGACTCTCTACCACTTGAGCCACTCCCCCAGCTACAGGTTCCTTGAAAGCACAGTTCATGTCCTACTTCTCTGACTCTAGTCCCTCCCAGACTGCCTGTGAATGAACACAAAAATGTTATGTTCACAATCAGCAGATAACTGAAAAACTACTGAGTAGAAAGCAGTCCATTTTTATTAAAGGGAATATAAAAGACCTAGAATTAAAGGGAATGAGAACTATTTTAGGATCCAAGCCAACATTTATTCCCAATGAGAGTGTCAGCATGAATGACCCAACTTTAAAGAGATAAGTGGAATTAGTCTGCAAGAAAGTTGTTCATGGAAGCACTTTTAGGTGGTGAACTGTTTAGTTAGTTGCAAATTTTAGTCACCTGCCCATAGCTGGTTCCTTTTTTTCTTCCTTTTGCAGCACTCCACTTGAGAAAAGGTAAGGCATAGGGAGGAGGATGAGTCACACCAAATGCTCCCCAAGCACAATCATTTAAAACAACTGACAATGTTCAATTAGTTTCATGTTTGCAGAGGAGTTTGGTCATTTGCAAAGGAAAAACCCAAATCAGTCCTCCTTGTATGGGAGGGACACTTGGCTGCTGGAGCTGTGGGCACCAAGGCAGGGGCTGCCTGGACAGGTGTCATCTGCTACATAGAAAATGGTCTCTTGAGCCTTTGTGAAAGGTGCACAGCAAAGCCCGATTTCCCAAATAGAACATGAGAAATGCTCTGAACGTGAAGAAGCACAGGTATTGATAGAATCTGTGTGTTTTAGTAGTGTTGATACCATCAGAACACAAGGTCTTCTCTACATAGGCAAAATGCAATATTCAAATGGAACAGCAACCCTGAACTTGGGAGTGGTTGGTATGTCATGGGTATTTCACAACAACCTAGCCTTGATTTTTTTCAAAGCAGCATCTTCTGTTGGAGTTGAAAGAACAGCTACAACCAGATGCCTTGCACCTAGGGAGGTTCTTGGATTCATCCTTGAGCTGCTCTCGTCACATCTTTCCACCTGGCCACAAATGCTCCAAAATCAGGGGTCCCTTCAGAATGGGAAGTTGGTGCAGGCAGAAGGCTCTCTGGGAAGGGTAAGCGAGGTGGCACACTTCCAAATTATCATCGAAGAGTACGATACCAAGTCGAAGCTAAAACCCACAAATTAGGATGAGGGTAGGGAGAACGTGATGGTTATTCATCTTCTTAATTATGACAGGGCCTGGAACAGTGTGGCCATACTGGGCTAGGATGCTTATAGCATTCGCTCCTTCCTTTCATGTGAGAAAATGCTGGGGTATGGCATTAGCTATTTCCATCTGTCACAGCAAGAAAATCCCACAATAAGCCCAACTATGTCTTCTGCCTAGTGTTTGTCACAGAGATATAAGAGGAACTGTGGCTACCACTCCAACATCGAGACCCCAGGAGTTCAAAGGCATGACTGAAATATGACAATGAAGTATTGACTTCATTTCATGGGTTTTTCCATATAGCCTAACTCTTCAGCACTGAAGTATGTTGAAATGCAAACTTTCTTATAGAATCTGTGGAATTCCAGGGCTGGCAGAGTGACTCAAGTGGTAGAGGGCCTGCCTAGCAAGCATGAATCCCTGAGTTCAATATCCAGTACCACCACCACCAAAAAAAAAAAAAAAGAGAGAGAGAGAGAGTACTAAGTAGAGTCTGTGGAATTCCAAGCAATGATATGGACATGTTAATGACCAGCATGTGCCCAGGGCCCACAGGCTCTTCAAGTAATGTAATGTCACTTTGGCAGCAGCAAGTGACAAGAGTCTTAGCCTCTACTCCGGCGCCAAGCTGGATGCCATTTGAGAGGCTGAAAGAAAGGTACAGGGAAAGTTTAACTGGTGGAGATGCTGCCACAGAAGGTGGCCTCCAAAGTGTCTTCAGAGTCACCAGCAAAATCATGACGATCATGACCTTGTTACACATTGGTTGAGTCACCCACATGTACCTCACCTTTCTGTCACTGACATGACAGAAAAGCTAACATGATAAGATGATCATTTTCTCCAAGCCTGAATCCATCTAGAAATCTGGCCTTGCTTTTGAAGTCTGACTTGTATCAATTCAGCAGGAAGGGAGTTGCTTTATTAATTTTACTTTTCAAGTCTTCCTTGCTTTCAATGCTAATAGTTTAAGAGTTAACAAGCAAGCAAGCCAAAGGCTGCTCAGGTCAACACCTGCCCCAGTGGAAATGCTATCACTCTCAGATCAAGAGCCAGCAGAGAACAATGGGACACTAACTCAAAGTCTTCAGAGTTACCGATCCATCCACTGTTCTGAAGAATGAAGTCGATAGCTCCCATGCTAAATTCATTTTACAAGTTTTCTCTCTCAAAGCCTGAATGACTATAGGTTTGAGAAGGGATGACCTGAAGAAGGGGCTTGAATTTGTTTTAAGATTACATGAAAATCACGGGAATGTCAAAGTTGGTGAATTCAGATGACTTGTATCATTTGGTAGTTTTTAGGTAGAATTACGTCTTTAGTTCATAAACTGTTCCTTAGCTGCTTTGCACCAGAGAGATTCCAGCAAACCCTTTTCATGAATCTTCAAAATAAAATTTATAAAAGTCAGCCAAATGTCAAGTTCACAATTACATTTTGTTTTATAAAGTGGCCCCCTTGTTCAGGATTCAGTGGATGCCTGAATAGTACCATTCTGATATATACCATATTTTTTCTTATATAGACAAACCTATGTCACACAGAGAGGTTAATAATAACAACTAATGATGCAATAGAACAACTATAATGATGTACTGTAGTAAAATTACAGGCATCACTACTTTTGTGCTTTAGGGTCATAATTACATAAAATATGTGTTCCTCGAACATAAGTAACTGAGACGGTTGAGCTGATAACAAAGATGGCCACTTAAGTGACTAACAAGCAGGCAGTGTGGGTGTGATGGACAAAGGGATGATTCACATTCCAGGCAAGGTGTAGCAGGGCAGTGCAGGGTTTTACCACACTGCTCAAAATAGTTCACAATTGAAAATTTGTGAATTGTTAATTTCTGGGATTTTCCATTTAATAGTTTTGGACCATGGTTGACAAGAGGTAACTGAAACTGTGGAGATATACTGTTTAAATATCTGTAACTGTTCTGCATTTTTGATTAATCTTGTGACTAAGGCTGTCAGAAGCCGCCAAAGGAGAACCATGGGTCTGAGAGGGCTTTTGAGGGTGCAGCTCCCTGGGAAGAGCAGGGTCTGGGTCTGTGGGATTCCTCCAAGAACCCTCCAAAGAGCAAAGTTTTGTCACCACAGAGCAACTATGACACTCTATTGCACTCCACCACAGGTAGCACTGCTGGCATGGCAGTTTCAAACACTATAGCTTGGGGAACACAAACCTTCCGTGACCCCAAAGAAAGGGAGTGCTAAGGACGCCTTTTCTTACATGGGGTCAAGTGATGTGCTCAATACCTCATAGCGTATTTTCATAGCTAATTTTTCTAATGAAATTGAAGAGAAAGTGGCTATGGAGCATTGGCCTTAGTTTTCCTACTGGGGTCCTTAGAAAGTATACAGGTCCATGAGCATGTGGACAGGGCACTTAGAATACTAGTCACCATGGAGCCCATTCAAGAAAGGTTTGAACTGTGAACAATGCCCTTTTTCTAAAGCTTTATAGAAAGAAACTTCTTGTGTTACAGGTCTGTTTCTAAGACTCAACTCACCGCAGGGAGCTGCCGTGTTCACCATGGCACACTTGCTCCTCCAGTGAGGAACCGAACCACTGCTCCTGGTAGATGTGACCACCTCAGTTTCCAAACACCATGAGCCTAGAAGCCACCCAATCCCACTATATACCTTTGCTATGAGGTCAAGTGCAAGTAATACTGCATTAATCATGGAACCTACAAAATCCAATCTCAAAAGATCACATAAAGTGTGCTAAGATTTCTTGGTTACAACTTCACTCTCAAGTATTTCCAGACCTTCAGCAGGGACAGCTGACAGATTAATGAATTATTAGGTGTGATCGTCAAAGAAAAATATACCAGGACTCTACATTCCAGTCTTTTCCCATTCTTGATATTATGGATATACTATAAACATATTCTAAATCCATGCCATCTATCTTTCTGGGCATATGACAAATGACTGAGTATAAAGCCAAGTTGTGACCTCACAACAGCGGTGGTCTTCATGTATAATGGCTTTTTGAAATATCTGAGATTAGGAATAAAATGTCCCTGGAAACATTTTTTCAGTTACAGAAGTGCCCGAGAGAAACTGACCTTCCATTTCTGTATCCACTATTTATGAATGGAATATTCTGTATGGCATGAAGTCTGAAAGAGCATGGAAGGATTAAGAAAATGACAACAGAACTGGGCTTACCTTCAAGAAGGCTTTCTTCTCCAGAGTGTTCATGATAAATGGAGGGATGGCTGGAAGGAAAGAGAGATCCACTGAAATCTTTACTTAAAGCCTATTTTCAGCTCACTTTGTTTTTCAACAATTTAATGGAAGCTCATGTTGCCTTTAGGCTATTTTTACACTGGCAAACTGAGAACTGTTTATAGTCATTTTTTAAATTTCTAGATTTAAGCTTATTGATTATACGCTGGATACATGTACTGAATTATCAGTGTGCCTCATCCATGCATTCAATTAAATCAGTAAATAACATAAACTATAAAATAAATGCATTTAAGTGTATTAAATTGAAAACTCATCCCACCCTTCACATTTTGCAAAAATAATGTAACGCTCTCTGCTAGCCAAAAGTTTTACAATATTGTAGAGAATCCTACACTTAACTTTATTTACTTTTTGGGGAGCAGTACTGGGGTTTCAACACAGGGTCTACACTTTGAGCCACTCCACCAGCCCCTTTTTGTGATGGGTTTTTTTGAGATAGGGTCTCATGAACTATTTGCCCGGGGCTGGCTTTGAACTGCGATCCTCCTGAACTCTGCCTCCTGCGTAGCTAGGATTGCAGAGTGAGCCACCAGCGCCTGGCCTTCATTTAACTTTAAACAGGAAACAGTTCAAACATCAGTAACTTCTCCGTCCCCATAGTAACAACACAAAGGCATCCTTCCCAGAGTGTCTACCAGGCATCAAAGACAGCCAGAGGACCCTACCTTGCTTCAGGCAGAATCACTTCAGTACTCGTTGGACCACTCACCTGCTAGCTGGGGTCCTGGAAGTTACTGATTTCTCTGGGCATCATTTTGTTTTCCCATCCATGAGATGGGAACATTATGAGGTGGAATAGATACATGAATTGACAGGGAAATCATATAATTTTAATAAGTATTTAAAGGGCGACTCTGACATTGGAACAAGGAGCTCTAAAACAGCTGGCCCCTCCCATCTTCTTTTAGGTGCTAAGTACAGGAACAGGGAGACAAGAGGAGCTACCTCCTTCTGCTTTCTTCTTTGAGATGTCAAGGAGCTGCCAGGATCCTTGGATGGGTGGAGGGTAATTCTAAAGTCTCTGTGACTTGGGTGGGTTGTGGGTGTGATTGGGTATGAATTTGGGTGTAATTTGTGAGGAAAATGCCTCTCTCTTTCTCTCCCCGCTGACCTCATTGCTCTCACTCTAGAGACAACCTGCTTTCAGTCTGTTGAAAGTGTAATCCTTTCCTAATGAATTTTACTGTTATTTTACTGAATCTTTGCATCTTACTTTTTTTTTTTTTTTTGGTGGTACTGGGGTTTGAACCCAGAGCCTCATACTTGCAAGGCAGGTGCTCTACCACTTAAGCTGCTACACCAGCCCTTTTTGCTGAATATTTGTGTCTTGCTTGAACTCTTCTCCTGCTAGATGCAAAAACCAAGGAAATCTTCAAGGCCACTTTTCTAGTGTCAGTTACACTAAACCTGGCCATGGTAACCAGATGTAATAATACATGGAAAACATGCGGCATTAGTTCATTAACTCACAATTTTTATCAGACTTAACAGTTTCATTAGCTACTTCAATATGTCAGCTACTCTTGGGCGATTCACTGGCACAGAAAGATTGGGTTACTTCTTTGGGGACCAAATAGTGTTTAAAAATAACCAAGTTACTGGAAGTGGAGTTGGCTGAACTCCAGGAGGAATAGGGAAAGACTCGAACCAAAAGCAAAAATGCACAGAGAAAGTTGGAGTTGCAATACTGCTTTCTGAGAATTGGGAACCTACCAGAGTGAGTGCTACAGCCTCCTCTTAGGTAGTGACAAGCATACTAGCTTTGGTCTTGGGGACAGCTTGCCTACCTTTCAGGACTATGGTTTCCTAGACACCACCACAGAACACACTAGCACCCCACAAGGGCTTGGTGGTGGTGGTAGGGGGTTCCTTTATTATATCAGATAATGTTGAGCTCCCCCAAGTAGCTGGAACACAAATACAGCTGTCCCTTGCCCCTCCGTATCCATGGGTGAGACAGGCTGGAGGTAGGGAAAGTTTGGGACTTATATGGTGTTGCCCAGGAATAGCCCAGACCACCCTCACCTGGCTGAGAACTGTCCATGCCCCTCTCCACTCATTGATTACTGGATGGGAAGCTCCTTGTTCTCCTCTTCCTGTAAATTATCGTAGGTTTTAAAAGCACCTGAAAAGCTGGGTGCTGGTGGTTCATGCCTGTAATCCTAGCTACTCAGGAGGCAGAGATCAGGAGGATCGAGGTTCAAAGCTAACCTGGGCAAATAGCTTGAAAGATCCTATCTCAAAAAAAACCTTCACAAAAATAGGGCTGGTGGAGTGGCTCAAGATGAAGACCCTGAGTTCAAGCTCCAGTACTGCAAATAAATAAATAAATAAAAAGTAAATAAAAGCACCTGAAGAACAGAAGCACGCTCTTTTGGCTTCCAGCTTCCACCTGGGCCCTACCATGCTTCCCTTTGTATTTCTTTTCTCTAACTTTTAATAAATTCCACTTACAGCCATGTGTCCTGCCATGGATTCTTCCAGGTGGGATACAAAGAATTTGGAAGTCTTCTGATCACAGACTGAACCAGTGCTGTTAACATGGGGACTGGGTCTGGGACTTCCCTTGGATACCAAAACCCACGGAAGCTCAAGTACCTATATAAACTAGCACGGTGTTTGCACATAAGCTATGCATATTATTTCAGACATTGAATCACTTCTAAATGACTTATAAAACCTGATGAGAGTCAATGCTAAGTGAATATCTGATACAGTGTATTGTATCAGGGATAATGATAAAGGAAGGCAGTCTTATGTGTTAGTTCAGATGCGATATTTTTGATCTGTGAGTAATTGAATCTGTGGGCACAGAGGGACTGCTGTAGAATGCTCCTCAAAGTCACTTTTATAAAAACTTTTGCTGTCAACTCCTACTTGCCTGCTAGGGAGTATTCATAGTGACAAAAGGAATTTAAAAACCAGCCAAAAATACACGTGGGCAAAAGTGACAGCAGTTGATTAGGGGTCTTCACTTGAGAGCTGCCTGTTAATAGCCAAGTGCCACCTGTATGTGACTTTGGTGATGAAATTACACATACTAATTTCTGGGCTTTTCCTGCAAAGAATACTGTAACTGCCAGGCTGTCTGGTTTCTGAGTGTCTGAGGACCTTGTCTGAGTCCTTGTTCTGACATTAGCTTTCAGCAGCCTTTGGGTGGACAAGAGGGTCTCAAAGGATCTCCTCACATTGCAAGTTTTCAGGTTCTTGTTGTGCTGACCCCAAGCCCTAGGGAGAAAATGGACTCGTCTGCACCCATGGCATTCACTGAGAGCTGTTCTACACACCTCTACTTGCTCCATGTTCCAAGGGTTTGCAGTGGATAGCAGTAAATCTTCACCAGAAATTATTTCTCTCCATGGACTTTGGACTTTTCAAAGCAACATTTATAAAGAGCAAATTTCTTCTCTTTCAATTCTTTTTTTTTTGTTGGTGGTACTGGGATTTGAACTCAAGGCCTCAAGTGCTCTACCACTTGAGCCACGCCACCAGCCTCCCCCCACCCATTTTCAGTGATGGGTTTTTTTTTAGAAATAGGGTCTCTAGAACTATTTGCCTGGGCTGGCTTTGAACTGTGATCCTCCTGATCTCTGCCTCCTGAGTAGCAAGGATTATAGGCGTGAACCTGGCATCTCTCTTCCAATTCTTATCACCTCCAATGCATCGTTCTGGTGCAAGCAGCCAGGGTCTCTGGGCTGGGGTGCTGAGACAGCCTCCCAGAGCACCTTGTACACCCCTTCAGTCTACTGTCAATAAGCACCCAGTGGCATACACTTAAACAGAGTGGATGATACCAACCCCATGTCAAACCCTTCATGACTAAAAGCCAGAGCCGGAATCCTAAGCAGCCAAGGCCACTCTCTGGCTTCTCCCTTCCCCTTCCTCCTCTCCCGCACACTCTGCTTAAGTCCCTCTCTACCCCAGCTGCACAGGCCTCCTCCCAATGCCTCCACCGAGGCTCTGGCCTCTGCTGCCATTCCCTCTGCCCAGAACTACGGCTCTCTGCCTCTGCCTATGGCTATCTCCTCCCAGCCCTCCTCCTGCTGCTCTGTCTACTTGCACCCTGACATTCCCTTCCTCCTCAGCCCACATCACATTTCACATACAGGCTAAGAACCTCTAACGTGAAAATCCAAAAATGAGGCCCCAAGTGAAATGCCACCCTTGACTCACGAGACAGGTCACAGTCAAAATACAGAACCACGACACACAAACTTTTTTTTCATGTATAAAATTATTTAAAAAAAAGTTATTTTTAAGTCCTGTGTAGAGGGTATATATGAAGCAGATAAATTTCATGTTTAGACTTGGATCTCATATATATTTGCAAATAGTCCACAAAAAACAAAAAAATCCTAAATCTGAAACACTTTTGGTTCCAAGGATTTTGGATAAGTGATACTCAACTTATACTGTATTTGCCTGTACTCCATGTTATTTCCTGGCTCTTCCACCAGGAGGTAATTTTTGCTAAGGAGAGTGCTATCTTTGTGGTTGTTAGTCAGTACATAATAGCTTTTGACTTATTGATGGAATAAAAGAATAAGTGAACAGATGGCCTAGTTCCACTAACCCATGCCTGGCGCGGCCATAAGAATCCTGGAGATGACAACCTGCACGATGGCTTGCTGAGCAGCGTTTGCCGACTCTCCCAAGCGGTTCCCGTTTTCATCGGTGACAGGAATGCCCACCTTGAGTTCCCTGTAGAACAAGCCATGTGCGAAGGCGTTTACAGGTTGCAAAAGATCATGCTCCTCCTTCCTCCAGACGCCCACCAAGTGTGTCACCGGTGGCACTGACAAGTCTATTTTTAAATACCACAAAGGAGTTCAATCCTTCTGTGATAGACGCAGAAGTAAAATAACACTAGTACACTTTTTAAATAATAATTTGATCTAAGGGTGGATATGCTATCTAAAAGACAAGGTTAATTTCTATGCTCAGGTACAAGTTTGAGCAACTTTTCTATAGCGGAAATAGATACAATACATAGACACATCAGAGAGCTAACTGTACTGTCACGGAAAAAGTCACCAGAGCCTGTGGACAGTTACTAACTGTAGCTGCTAACGCTGCAAGTATAACTCCTGTTGTTACTCTGTTTTCATTGTCTGTTCCAAAAGGCCATTTCTTTTTGCAGTACTGGGGCTTGAACTCAGGGCCTACGACTTGAGTCACTCCACCAGTCCCTTTTTGTGATGGGTTTCAAGAACTATTTGCCCGGACTGGCTTCAAACTGTGATCCTCCTGATCTCTGCCTTCTGAGTAGCTAGGGTTACAGGCGTGAACCACCAGCGCCCAGCCCAAAATACCTTTTCTTATTCCTTCTTCTTTAATTTCTGTCCCAATTCTAAAAACAATACTTTCAAAGATATAGATTAATGTTACCTCAAGAGAAAATTCCGGGGAAGGGGTGGGGGTGGGAAGAACCTATCTTAGAGAATAATCTTTCTTTATACAGACTTTGTCTAACCCATCACGACTCAGTGTCAGCTTGAGAAGTGTCTTTTCTATTATACAGAGGTAGAAAGGCTATCCTAAATTCCTGTGCACTTACCAACTTGCTTCAAAAATTAGCAATTCACGATCAAGTGTATTGCATCAGTGGACTCATCTTCACCCCAATCCCAGATTATTTTGAAGCAAATCCCGGATCTTATATAATTTGATCTGTACTTATTAACTTATTACAGTAGTCTAATCTTACCTCTGCCTCATCAAGGGAATATTTATGCAATTAGCAGCAGCCACAGCAGCAAAGGGAACAAAACGTCCTACCAGCGGGGAGACGTGCTGTAGAAAAGATGATTCCAAAAGCGTTGTCTTAGGACAGCTGAAGACAAATGCTTATCTCTTCTTCAAAGTGCTGTGGAGTCCTGGCTGTACAGAAACTCAGGCCAAGAGGACTTTCAAAGCTTGCTGCCTACTTCTGCTTTGGTTACACCAGGACAAGGCACATTTCTGGGACACTTTGTCAGCTTAGCATGATTGAAAGCATGTGCACTTAGGAGTCCCAGAGTCCCAAGGCTGGACTTCAGAATCACCCTGCCTGCCATAGTCTTGGGTGGCCTGCTAGGCTGTGTATTTTAGCATTTAATATACAAAGCCAGATCCTGACTGCTGTCTTGGCTGATGCTACGGGCGATAGCCCTTCCCACACTCCTTGGAAGATATATCTAAAATATGCATATTACAAGAAAGCCACACGAATGCCACCCTTGAGAAAGAATCAACCTAGAGCCACCCAGGGAAGAAGAAATTAGGAAGCTTTGCCATGGAAATAAAAATCTGGGTACCTTGGTCAATGTGTTGAGTCCTAGAGCAGTGGCCACAGCACCTGTTGTTGCAGAAACATAAGCTGTCCCCAACTCGCTGAAAAGAGAAGAGGATAACGTGTAAACAGCGAGTGTCTTTTTGTCAGGAGGCTCCAACATTTGAAGAAAAATGGGGGAGGGGGTAAGGACATCAGCACAACCAAAAAGCAGAGTCCTTCTCACTCTATAAATGGAGGAATAGAGAGAGAAAGCGAGTAGAGTCCCAAGAAAGAATTCTTCCCCTCTAAGTGGACCTCAACCCGAACAAGGAGACATACAGACTAAGCTCTCATGGTGGTGGAGGAAGGAGGGGAGCCATGAACGTAAAGGGAGCTACAGATGCAGAAAAGTGCTAAAGTATGGAATATATTTGCTTAAATCAAAAATACTTCTGAAAATACTGATGTAAGTACAAAAAGCAAAAATGCAATGCTGTCATTCTTAGAATGTTATCTTTGTGTGTGTGTGTGTGTGGTACTGGGGTTTGAACTCAGGGCCTACACCTTGAGCCACTCCACCAGCCCTTTTTTTGTGATGGGTTTTTTTGAGATAGAGTCTCATGACCTTGATCCTCCTGATCTCTGCCTCCTGAGTAGCTGGGATTACAGGCGTGAGCCACCAGCACCTGGCTGAGCATTACCTTACTTTATAAAAATACTAAAAGGCTCATCTTTAAAACACAATTAAGCACAAACAATTCTCTCCTGATGTGATAAACACTGTTTGGTGGCAGGTTTTATTCCATTTGATGATAGCAGAATATGGATTTTCAAAGGCCATTTCTTTTTTTTTTTTTTTTGCTGGTCCTGAGGTTTGAACTCAGGGCCCACACTTGTAGGGCAGGTGCTCTACCACTTGAGCCACACTCCCAGCTTTGTCAAAGGCTATTTGCAATTATCTTCCAAGTATATACAGGCCATGCTAACATTTTTATTAAAGTAAACACTTTAGCTTGTCTGTTTGTAAATTCATTGTTTTCTTTTGGGCTCCTGAGATGAGCTGTTTTAAAATAGCAGGTGTCAAGGTCACATCAGCACAGTCTCCCCTTGACTTCTGCAGAGACCACTCCATAGACCTCTCTATTTTGATGTTGGTGGCTTTGACTCATGCAGGCTAGACAGAAGCACAGTTGGTCATTTTCCAGAAGCCACACCTGTGACCTACCCGCTCTGTGGTCTTCAGGGGCCCTGGGCTCCAAGGAGCATGAGATACTATATCCTACTAGTGCCACTAACAGCACAAGTAATGTCTGTGACGGCAGCTACCTTGATACAGAGGGAGGATAAGAGACACCTTACATAAATGACTTGTACAGATAGATGTTTTAGTCAAAGACTGTCACCATTTAAATCACAGGAGCTCTGCCTTACTTCATGGTGAGGGGAGCATCTCCGCTTCTGTTGGTGTAATTGACCACAGCGTTGAAGGACTGGTTGATCCACTGCCAGAACAGCACAGCTGGCGTGGTCCTAAAACACAGAGACCCATCACACACCTGCCATGACCAGTGACCAAGCACCATGCAGAACAGAAACATGAATACCAGCCACTGGGGACAGGCACTGGAGAAGGGAAAACACGGGGCAGACTGCGCACATGGCCACTGGCTAGGACCTATGTGGCCAGGCAGACTTTCCCCTTCCGACGGTCAGTTTTCTTGTCAGCAAGCTTAGAGGGTAACTGTATAATGAAGTTAGTTGAAATTTATAGAGAACTTAGCACAGAGTGGACACTCTAAAATGGCAGGTCTCTTCCTAGCCATTTGAAGGCTAAGCAGTCCTGGTCCTCCTCTCTGCAATTCTGTGTTAATGTGTGTTGATGTCTATACCTGCACCTACACTTATACCTATTTTCTATAGAGAGGTTAAGGAGAATTTGCTTACATTCTCCATTTTCTCATTTTCTTTTGGGTCTAAGATTTAGGGAAAACTTCAATGTTTTGAACAAAGAAGATGCTATTTTGCAGAAGGAAAAGGAAAAACACACCTTTTTAAAAATTAATTTTATTTGATAGGTCTCTAGTTTGAGCTCAGGTCTCAGAACTTGCAAAGCAGGTACTCTATTATTTGAACCACACCTCCTTTCCATTTTGCTCTGGTTATTTTGGAGATGAGGTCTCAAGAAATATTTGCCAGGGCTGGCCTTGAGCCATGATCCTCCTTATCTCAGCCTCCCAAGTAGCTAGGATGACAAGTGTGAGCCACGGATGCCTGGCTAAAAAGATACCGTTAAATAAAATTAAATGTTTATTTAAAGACATCACACTAGCCTGCTGCTTAATGGAGCAGCGACGTTTATACAGAGTGGACTAAAAGCAACACCATATTTTATTTTTAATTGTTTTATTTTTTATTAAATATATTTACGGGGTATAGCATGAATTTTGGACCTCGTGCATGCTAGGCAAGTGCTCTACCACTTGAGTCACATCCCCAGTCTTTTTTGCTTTGTATTTTCTTTTTCCGACTTTTTCCCTCTATTTTTATTAGCATGTATTAATTGTACAAAGGAGTTTCATTGTGACATTTGCATCATGCATATAATGTACTTTGATCAAACTCACCCCCTCTATTGCTCTTCCTTGGCCCTTTCCTCCTTTATTGAACAATTTTAATGGGTTTCATTATTCTATTTTTATTCATGCAAATGAAGTACTTCAATCATATTTACCCCCTTCCCCCATTAATTCCACCCCCAAACAGTCTCCCTGTTTTGTATTCATGTCATTCATCTTTTTTTGGTTTTTTTTTAGGTCTAGATTCTGCATATGAGAGAGAACATGCAATCCTTGCCATTTCAGCCTGGTTTATTTCATATAACATGGGTTTTGTTTTTGAGATAGGGTCTTGCTCCCTTTCCCCTGGCTTGTGATTCCCTTCCTCTGCTTCCTGAGTAGCTGGGATTACAGATATAAAACACACCACATAGTATGATGTTTTAACATATCATGGAATAATTAAACCATGCTCATAAACATACCCATCACCTCACAGACTTAGAAAAAGACATTTACTTCCATAAAATAATTTACGAGCAAAAAAGATAATCTGAGTTTCTAGAATTTCATATGAGGTAACTGCTACTGTGTATCTGTAGCTCACCTATAAAACGTCATCATACAGCCGGTGATGGTCATGTTCATCGGGACCTGAGCTGACATTCTTCCGATCAAAATCATCTTTTCGCCAGTGTCGGGATGAAAAGCCGAATCGTAGACGTACTTGGCTCTCCACAACTCATTCTCTGTGAGACCTGGAGGAATAACTCCTTGTCTACGAAAACAACACAGCAACCGTTCATTTCCAACGTCTCACTGGGGCCCCCAAACAACCAGCCACAGGGTCTTCAAAAGGTTACACTTACTTCCTAACAATAGGGCTTTTGTATTTATTTATTGATTTTTGGTCTTTCAGATGGAACCGAGAGCCTTGCACGTTGAGTGCAGGCTCTACTTCTGAATCACACCCCAGCCCCGGTCAGTATAAGGGACAAAAAAAAAGCACTTAAAATGAGCATTTCAGCGGTATTCATCTCAAATTAGATGTAATTTGAGAAATAAAAAGTATTCATCTGTAGTTTGAACTTTGCAAACTGGAATGTTTTAACCATTAGGCAAAAGCTATGGGGAAATCAGAAAAATTAAATCATTTTTGAGCCTATAGTTTGGAACCTTGGATGAGGAACTGTTTAGTGATAAAAAATTAGTGTTAGGTACATCATTTATTGTTTCTTCATTTATTATTTCTTGTCCTTATCAAAGAAACACATGTCATTGCCAGAAATTCAGAAAATATGGAAATCTGTGAGAGAAATTAAAACCCTTCCAGCCTCTGTCAGTCTTCTCCACTGGTAATGTTTTGGGGAACACGTTTCATTCTTGCTAGTAGGGCCGTTTTTATATAAGATGTTTTTATTTAAAGGGTCACATCAGACCTGCTGCTCAGTAACTGCTATGTTCAATAATATTTGGTAAACATTTCTCTGCATCTTCATGTATTCTTGTAAATCATCTCAATTGGGTTGAATAGTGGTCCCCCCACAAAACAACAGGACATGACCTTATTTGGAAAGGGGTTCTTTGTAAACGCAATTAGTTAAGGAGAAGTCACACAGGAGAGAATAGTCACTAAGTCAAACGATCAGTGTCCTTACAAGATGGCCATGTGCAAACACACATGTATGCTGTGATGTTCCTGACAGAGGCAGGTGCTGTGATGCACCTACAAGCCAAGGGATGCTGAAGAATTCCTACAGCCACCAGAACCCAGGAAGAGAAAGAAAGGATTTCTCCCCAGAGTGTCAGAGCAAGCACAGCCCTGCTGACACCTTGATTTTAGACCTCCAGCCTCCCGAACTTGGGAGAGAACAAATTTTTATTGTTTTAAGCCACCCAGTTCTAGGAAACAAACACATTGTCCTTTTAAATGTGGCATCCTATTCCACTATATGGTTTTTTTATTTTACTTTTTTTTGTGGTACTGGGGCTTGAACTCGGGGCCGATACCTTGAGCCACTCTACCAGCCCTTCTTTGTGATGAGTTTTTTTTAAGATCAGGTCTCATGGAACTATTTGCTCAGCTTGGTTTTGAACCACAATCCTCCTGAGTAGCTAGGATTACAGGTGTGAGCTGCTGGCGCCCGGCTTCCACTGTATGATTTTAAGGTAATAAACCAATCTCCATGAGTTAGGCATTTTAATTGCTTCCAGTTTTTTTTCCATTTCTAAGGGATACAGAAGGAAATAAATATTCATGGTTAAAGCTTTCCCCACAGTTGACATTATTTGGGAAGAAATTAGTACCAGGTATGTACAATATGAAATCTGTGGGTGTCTTTTATCCTTTTTCTCTATTGTGCACATCTTTGTCTTAATCACATCAGATTCGCTGTTATTTATGTAACTCGCTGTGTGCTTTATGCACTTGGTAATTAACCCAAATGTTAATTCTGTGAGTTGTACTGTCTGTTGTCTGTACTGTCCAGGTAGGAACAAACAAACCTCTCCCTACAAAGGCTGGCCACCTTGAAGTTGGACAAGTGTTCACCTGGACCTCTGGCATTCTCGTAACAGTAATTTTCTTTTTATCATTTAAGGTTTTAATTTATTTGGAATTTATCTTAAGATACAAAAAAGTGAAACTTTGCTTTAATTTTATTTCCCAGTTGGCTGATCTCTATCAATTGAGATTTTATGAACCTTCTGTTGTGTTCCTGCTCATCTGCGTGTCCTGATGGCAAGACTTCCATTTTTTAAAGTATTTTTATGTGAAAATTGGCATTTATCATGTGTAATGGCTTCTTTTGAGCCTTTTTTATTGTTATGTATTTTGTCTTATCATTATATAGTTGGATTAGGGGTACACTGCGACATTTACAAAAATTCTTACAATATATCATGGTTGAATCCACACCCTCCATCACTCTCCTTTATCCCCTTCTCCCCCCATTCCTGAAATAGTTTCAACATGTCTCACTGTTCCATTTTCATACATGAGTACATAATATTCCACCATATTCACTTCCTTCACCCTTTCCTTCTATCTCCTCCTCCCACTGGTACCAACCCCCAGACAGGACATTCCTGTTTACCTTCCTAGTCTCCGATTATGAAAAAAAGCATTTTTGTTTAAGTTAGCTAGATATACAGGGAGTTTCATTAAGACATTTCCATGTCTATATGTATTATAACCCAAATTGGTTCATGCCTCTATTTTTCTCCTTTCTACCTTGGTCCTCCTCTTATGGTGTCAATACCCCATTTGAATGACAGTCCATTTTAATTTTTAGTAGAGCAATTGTCACTCCCTCAGTTATTCTTCTTTTTTAAAAATTCATTAGGTACACTCATCCATTTTATTTGTCCAAAAAAATTGTAAAATTATTTTATACATTTTATAGATGGTCGCAATGGCACTGGCCTTTTTAGCCAACCCCACCCATTTCTCTCCAGTGGCTCAGACTTTCCACACCCCCTCAGCCAGCTTGTTCCCAGGTATCTTGCATTTAAAGTTGTTCTCATGAATGCAAATAAAAATACTGTCTGATTGACTATGGCTGATATACAAGAAAGCACTATTTTTGTGAATATTAAAAGCAGTCTGTGCATATTATTTTATTTGTTTTATTGACTTTCCAGTTGATTAGAGTATTATTAATTGCAAAAGAAAAATTGTCCCGTTTTTGATATCTCTACCTTTGATTTAAAGATAAAAGGGCCCACACTCACTCCTCAGCCACATTGAGGGTGACTCAAAGTGCAGTCTTTCCAGGGTGGGTTCTCTTGGGTATTAATAGACGTTATGGGAAAAAAGACTGGGCCCAAGTTCAAGTTTGGGAGAATGGATTAAATAGATTTCTTTACTCCTTGAACGTCTTGGAAACTTTACAAAGTAAATGGAATGTGACATCCACAAGAGTGTATGAACTTCCCAAATCTGACTACAGAAAGCACCTTCTTTTGTTCTCTCTCCTCCTCCCCCTCCTCCTCCTCCTCCCTTCCAGGTCTGCAGTCTGTTTAGGAAGTTCTGTTCTAGTGGCTCAGTATTTAGGGCAGCGGTGGCTGCTGTGGGGTCTGTATTCTTTATCATTTTAAAGAAGCACTCCACATTGCTCTTAGGAAATTAATTTATGCGAAATGCATGTACTATTTCACCTTCTTCTGGGCACCCATCAAGATGTGGCTTTTTGCTTTGGCATACTGACATGGTAAGTTGCATTAATAAAATCAAATCACCTTTTCATCCTTGGAACAAATCCTTCTACATTTCATATTTTAGCACAAGGCTGGATTTGATGTGATAATATTTTACTTTGGACTTTTGCCTTAATTATTTTGTATTGGTGTGTCTTTATTTTTCACTTACAGTATCAGGGATGCCACCAAACTGGGGACAGTCTCATTTTCTTCTGTGCTCTCATAACTGTTTTATTTTAATTAAGTCAGCTTTCTTAAGGTCTAACAAATGCAAGTATACGACTTGATGAGTGTTGGGAAATGTACCCTGTGCCATGCCCCCTCCAGAAACAGGGCACACTGGATCTTCATCTTTCCATCAGTCTCCAGCTGCACCTCTGAAGTCACTCACTCCCTCACTTCCAGCAACCACCTCCGTGCTCTCTGGCAACACAGTACCACCTCTGAGAATTTGGCAAAAATGGAAGCATGCAGGAAGGAATGCGCTGCATCTGGCTTGCTTAACTTTGCATAAAGCTCTTCAGAGGCATCCTTGCTGTTGTTTGTATTCCTAGTTAATGGCTGAGTAATATTCCTTAGTACAGTTACTTAGCAATTCTCCCTTTGGCCATTCCAGCAGAGGGGAAGTGCTATTTCCTTATGGTTTCATTTTCTGTTGCAAATAATAATATTGAAAATCTTTTCACATGTTTCCTTGTTAATCCCATCATTTCTTGGTGAAAAGTTGTCAGTCTACTCAAATTTTTAAAAATCATGTTGTGGTTGGGTGCTGGTTGGTGCCCAGCTACTCAGAAGGTAGAGATCAGGAGGATGTCAGTTTGAAGCTGGCTCAGGCAAATGGTTTGGGAGGCCCTCTCTTGAAAAAACCCACCACAAAAAAGGGCTGGGAGTGGCTCAAGGTGTAGGGCCTGAGTTCAAACTCCAGCACCACAAAAAATAAATAAAAAATAATAAAAATTGGGTTGTCTTATTGAATTTAAAGTATTTTTTTTGTACCTTCTGGATACAAGCCTTTAAAGAGAGGCAAGTTTTACAAATATTTTCTTCCACTTTCATTTTCTGGTATCTTCGGCAGAGAGAAGACTTGTTCCTTTTGAGGAAGTTCAATGTTCCTTTTATTGCTTCCTGCTTGTGTCCTATCTAAGAAATTTTTGCCTGTCCCAAAGTCACAAAATGTTTGCTTATTTTCTTCTAGAAGTTTCCTAGTGTTTGCTTGTATGTTTTGGCCCATCACTCATTTTGAGCAAAATTTGGTTTATGGTATGAGTTAAAGAGCAACACTCACTTTTTCATGACTACCCAATGTTTCCAGAACCATTAAAGGAACAGAGTATCTTTTCCTCATTTAATTATCTTGGCATCTTTGTATAAAATCAGCTATATATACTTGGGCTTATTTCAGGATTCTCTCCTCTTGTTCCATTGATCTATGCTATAGTTTGGATGCTGAACGTCTCCCTGAGTCCTCAGGTGGTACTGTTGAGAGGAAGTGGAGCCTTTAAAAGGTGAGGGCATACGAGGATGTCATTAGGTCCTTGAGGGAGTGTCCTCAAAGGGGATTGTGGGACTGGCCCTTTC